CTGAAGCGCCGTCATCATCAGCTGAGCCTCAACCGAGCCTCAGTTACGATATTCCCGTAGATGTCCTTTGATGAGACATCTTTAGTAATTTCCAGAGAATAAGTGTCATCATTCTTCTGTTTAGTCATGAACTTGTTGAAAAATATAGTTAATCTAAGGGGGTGGAAGCCCAGAGGAACAGGTACTGTATTTGAGGAAAGTTTGTGTAACAGTTTAACCTTAAAAGTAATTCCGATGAGATTTTAAACAGTGTGCCATAACAGTGTTGATTTCTACTACTTGATTCAATTGTGGAAGAACGATATTTAAATGCCTTATATACTGAGATGAGCTGTGAGAATTCTAAATGCCAGCATACATTATTTATAGTTTTGTTTTACTTTTCTTCTTTGTCACCTGTAATAAATTTATGATTTGAGGTATTAGATGTATATTGTTAACATTGTGGTACTATTTAAGATATATGATTCTATTTAAGAAGAACTCTGAGACTATTTATCTGGATTTCTTTTAAGTAATATTTCTGTTAAGAACATTCAAATCCCAGAAATATGTTTAAAGGGATAGATAATGCTTGTGGACATTTAATTAAGGGTTAATTGGTAATGCTTAAGCTTCAGCTCCCAATAGTATCCTAATATATTTGAAGAAATGAAGATTGTTTGAGGGAAAAAAAGCCACAGTAAAGAAGTTGTTGAATATTGTCAATATCCTATTTTCATGAACTCTTGAAGTGTCCATGAATAGTTTACACTGATGTCTATGGATTGTGATTATATAAAGCTTAGCATAGAGTAACTCTATAGTTCATTGATTTCACTTTTTTTCTAGCTGTCTTGGCCACTAACTTGATTACATTATTTCTGCTACATATTTTTGATATGTATTTTTTTTTTTTTTTTTTTTTTTTTTTTTTTGTGTGTGTGTGTGTGTGTTTAGTGAATATGCTCTTTTATGTCTAGGGTGTTTGTATAGCAGCCAGAGATCTATGAGTGCTTCAGAACCAGCACATCTGGAGCCAGCCAATTTCAGGCCACAGAAAGTACTGATTCTCACCAAATTGTCAAGATATGAGTTTGAGAAGCGTCGACACCCAGAGCTGACCGAGAGACAACTGGAGAGGTGCCTTAGAAACAGAGGATCAGACTACAATATGTTACTCTACCACCACTACATCCACAAGGTGAGGGCATGCTTCACCATATCTCCATCACCATAACTACCATACTTCAGATTTTAGTTTTGTGTTAAGATTATTGTATATTGTTATTGATAATTGTTGAGAATAGAACTGCATCAGGAGACCACCATGACCTCCATGTTTAGTGCTCAGGTAAAGGCCAATTAATCTCTACATATATTCTGCCAGTATAGAACTTGGACTGTTTTTTTTGTGTGATGAAATTGTAAGGGCTGTATGCAGGGTCTGTCTTCTCAATATTTTTTGCACAGGTTTTAGCTGAGTATTTATCTTTGATGTGACTAGTTTAAATAGAGTACATGGCAGTAAATGTTATATCAGTTCATTTATAAGACTGTATACTATATTTCTGTCTTTTCACAGTCTTATTCTGGGCAGTTGTTTGTTATTTAGTCTCATATTTATTTAACGTAATATAGAACAATTTGCTATTTTCATTCATATATACCAAGTACTAATAAATCATCATCTTTACAGGGTGTTGAAAATACAGTAAACAGTGTATTCAGAGCAGCTGGTATTGAGACCAAAGTGGTTTATCGCTTTGACTACTCAGACCCCAACATCGAATGGGCAGATGCCATAGTGACCACAGGAGGCGATGGAACCTTCCTTCTTGCAGCATCTGGTGTACTAGAGAGAAACAAACCTCTAATAGGGTTCAATTCCGATCCCATGAGATCAAAAGGACAGCTATGTCTCCCTCAGAAGTACTCAGTAGATGTGAAGGAGGCAATTGATAAACTTTTAAAGGTAGTTTTGGTGGCAGATGTCCTCAAAATATATTCGTTTATTTTTAAGAAGAGGAATTTGGGGAAAAAATCAGAATTGTTTTCCCAGTGATTCAACTAAAACAGGAATGCTATTTACTACTGAAAGTATATTTTTCACGTTTGTTAAGGAAAGTGTCTAATACTCAGTGTTTTACAGGGAAAATTTCGCTGGACCTTCAGAAGCAGAATTCGTGTCACACTTATAGGGGAAAACATCTTTAGACCACCAGTGGAACTGCATGACCAGCAGTTGTTACATCCTGAGTACAGGTACACCTGGACAGCATTAAGTGTCCTGTCAATTAAATGAAATTATAAGGGACTGTATAAGTATGTTGTAAAAGATGAGCTACTATTCAAATGATGGAAAAAAAAAAAAAAAAAATCATATTTGTATTGACATTCTTCTTATGCAGATACCTAGACATGGACTTGCAGTTACGTACGCTGAAGGAAAATACACCATCAACAGATGAGTCTGGATTACCTAGACGAGTACTGCCCGTCCTTGCCCTCAATGAGGTTGGTTGACTCCTAGAGACTGATGCCCACAGTTGGCTTTGGTTAAACACTTAAGGTACTGAGGGATATGATAATTTCCCCAGGACACTAGGGGTGTGTTGTGTTATGTAATGTCAGCATTTCATGTTTAACATTATTTATGCTTGTGTTTCTCATGCAGTCTGGTATTGTGTAGCATGGATGCTGTCCAATATCCTGTAATTGGCAGATTGATTAGTGGCTGCATCTTCAAATTTTGTAATACAAAATTGCCACTAATACCTTATGTGACAGGCCCTTATGACCTTTTGTGTTTTTACAGATAAAATAAACTGACCAAAAGTTTTCCAGTAATCTTAAATGTTTAATAAAGGAATTTAGCAAACCCATGTCAGTAGTATCCTTTGCTTGATGCAGGTGAGCTTTGTTTTTTTTCATTAGTCATGATATTGCTAACTTTGTCAGATTCCTATTATTTGAGAATGACAGATCTTCCTCCATCTAACCCAGGTTTTCATTGGCGAATGTGTGTCAGCCAGAGTGTCGTATTTGGAGTTGAGTTTTGATCGTAACAAGGGGATCAAACAGAAGTGTTCAGGACTCATCGCCAGCACAGGTGGGTGTCCGTGTGGTGAGACCTTTGGCTCTTGAGGTTCTCAAGAACATGGGGTCGTAGTGATTTTGAAGTAGCATTTGTTTGTTGATGAAACCTTTCAACTCTTTGGTTTCCAGTATGTAAAGTAATGTTTTAAGGATGCAGTCTTTATGATCAGTAAAAGAGGAAAGGTTCAACAGTAGAAAATGTTATTTCTTAATTACATAAACTGTCTTACTGTCTGTAGAAGAGCATTTTGGTTATTTTGCATGACAATACTAGTGGATCTTTGTCAGTATGATATTCTGATTCAGACATTTCACATCATGATGCTTCTGATAATTAGGCTAATAGTTTGATGAATAAATTCACCAACAAGTTGATTTAATAGCATCCTTACAAATATATGTAATTAATTTGATGATGGAAGATAATGTTACTATCATGATTTTTGTTATTTTTTTTTATACTACCATGTTCTCCATGACTGTCAACCACTACTCCATTATCACAGTCATCATCATCATCTCTAGTAAAAGTACCAATAGTATGACTTGTAAAGTTTAACATACAGGCCATTATACCTTTTATATTATAAGTCAGTGAAGATTACTATCCATAAGAATGTGGCTGTCCCTGCTGAAGTAAGGTTTGAAATCAAGAAAACTAATGGATGTTGGGTGATCATTGCTTATAGTTACCTAGAATGAAAGCCCAAGTGGTAAAGAGGCAAGTTTCACCACATCCTTGAAGTGAGAAAATAGCAATTAAACTTGAGCAATTGTTTTAGTTTCATGGATAGCTTCCTTGAGTCAACTCCTTTGAGTCAACCCCTTAGCAGATATTTGGTTTGGAAACAGTAAAAAATAAAAAGCAAATCTCAGAAGTTGAAAAGTGTGGATGAATCTGCAATGTATGTGGGGGTATGCTGTCCACTAATAGATAGGCTTAGAAGGTTTACATAATGGAGCTGAATGGTGTGTTGTTCTCAAAGTGTCTGTACACAGCTACTTGAAGACCAGTTCTATTGTCTTTCCTGCCAATTTTCTTGGGTATTTGTAGGAAAAAATCAGCCTTAATGTTGTTCTTCAAAATTTAGTCCTCAAACAATGATATTTCAAAACTGAACAACATATAGCATACCTCACTTCATTAGGGAGTACCACAGTTACAGGCCCACCTTGCAATTGATATTTTTTTTTGTAAGGGAGCTTTTTGTTTGTAATGTGCTCATTCTTTTAGTAAAAGTTTGCATTTTTGGTAACACTCACTTTTGCATTTCTGTTCTTCCCCTATTTCTCTATTCTTTATTATTCCTTTTCACCACCTACACCATAGCCATCATCACTTCTGTTTCTTCCATTCCTCTTTAAGCATCATCTAAATCTCCTCGACATTACTGACCACCTCCAACACTGTCTGCTGCAGTATCTATACCACTTTTTTTTCACCATTGCCTCTTCTACCACCAACTGTTGCTGCTAGCACCACACCACATTTGTCAGTTTCCTCCTCCTCCTCCTCCTCCTCCTTCTCCTTCTCATCATCATCATCATCCCCTTCTTCCTTCTCATCCTCCTCCTGTTCCTCTTCTTCCTCCTCATCCTCATCCTCCTGCTCTTCCTCCTTTTCTGTCTCTTCTTCATCCTCATCCTCATCCTCCTGCTCTTCCTCCTTTTCTGTCTCTTCTCCTCCTCTTTTTTCTGCTTCTTTTTCTTCTCTTACCCCTCCTCCTCCTCCTCCTCCTCCTCCTCTCCTCTCCTCTCCTCTCCTCATCCTCATCCTCCTCCACTGCCACCATCACCTCCACCTTCTTCTCCTTCTCCTTCTCCACTTCCTCCATCTCCTCCTCCTCCTTCTCCACCTCCCCTTTCTTTTTTCTTTCTCATCTCATTCTTCCTCCTCCTCCTCCTCCTCCTCCTCCTCCTCCTCCTCCTCCTCCTCCTCCTCCTCCTCCTCCTCTTCCTCCTCCTCCTCTTCCTTCTCTTCCTACTCCTTTTCCTCTTCCTCCTTATTCTTCTCCTCTACCTCCACTTCTTTCTCCTCCTCCTCCTCCTCCTCCTTTTCCTCCTCCTCCTTTACCTCCTCTTCTGTCTCCATCTGCACCTTTCTTTCTTTTTCCATGTGTATTTTGCTGCATGCAGATACTAAGTCCAAGTTTTTGTAGGTACAATATGGCAGGGAGATACTTATGGCGACACCAGTAAGAGTTTCTGGAACAAAGACGTTTGTGTGTGAGGGCTGACTTTTAGCTTTGGCATTAATTTTTTTTTTTTATTATTATTACTTGCATGTGAGACTGTAGTCTGTTCCATGGTCTTCTAGGAAAGAGATAAGTCAATTAAATAAAAAGCATTTGCATTAGTAAGTTGTGGATAGACTGGATTCATCATACACAGCAACAAAATGTTAAAATAAAACAGGTTACGTTTGTCTTGTATTACAATACACAAATTTGAGTTAAGGCCATGCTATAAATTTGAAGTTTGCATTAGAGTTCATGGAACAGACTAAGTTAATGCAATTATTTGCTATTGGTGTTGTTGGTATTTGAAATGTTATGGCATGTAGTTTCAATAATGAAGCAAACTTGATGATTTGAGAATTAAAAGAATGTTGCCATATTACTACTCCCTAACATACTTATCAGATGTATTAGCTTTGAAGCTGCATGCTCATTTGTAATAACTATTTGCTTTTGTATGTGTTGTTTATAATAGATATAAACAACCATGGTTAAATCCTCACAAATAAATTCTAGGAAAAATCCTCATTATAGTTAATGGTGGAAGATTTCCACTGTATTGTTTTTTTCTCTTCACTTCTCTTTGTTCCTCTTCATCTTGGATTCCCATTCCTATTATACTGATGAATGTTCTGATGGAAATGAGTTATTAAACAGTGCTTATCTTGTGCACTCTGTTTGATATGTTGTGCGTGTTTTATTGACTGTCAGATCAACATTGATAATATGAAGTAATTCAATTTCCAATTCATGAAGCTATGATAGTTGAATTGTTAAATTACAGTAAGTGTATTTTAATTACAATCTATTTAATAATTTTGTACCTTCACAATTTTATGCAGGGACGGGCTCAACCTCATGGACTTATAATGTGAACAAGTTAACAGAACAAAATATGGAAGAAATCCTGACTATTGTGAAGGAGGAGACAGGCTTTGGCATCCGCGATACAGATCCTTTATTTGTACGCAAGATTACTAATAAGTTTAATGAGATGCTAATCACAAATCCTGGTGAGTTATATGCATCAATAGGAATTTTTTTATGCTGATAATCAATATTGATATCAAAATAACTGTTATAAATATATTTGTATGAGTTGATATAGTATTATTCAAAGTTTATAGTATCTGATTTCCCACTTACATATTTTGCCCATTTTGCAGAGGAGCCACGTATGGTGTACACTATTAGGGATCAGCTGGTCTCGTCGCCCATGAGAAGTGAATGTGTCAAGCCTAGGGGATTTGCTAGGTCAATAGGTGTAAAGTCTCGTTGCTTTGATGCTTCTTTGGTGATTGATGGGGGTCTATCCTTCCCCTTCAATGATGGGACGCGAGCCCTTCTGGAGATTCATGATGTGGACGCTCTCCGGACAGTGACCCTGCATGAGGATCCAACAGAAGTTTCTTTCAAGCACTGATAGAACGTGTTGAAGAAATGCTTCATAATTTGCAAACAGGACACAGGAAATGTTTTTGGTGTTGAGTAGGAAAAGTAACAGAATTTTCAACATTAATACTATGAGGTGCTCATTGTCTAGTCATACTGGGACAGAGTAAGTATTTATGCCTTGGACATAGACATTTTGACATGAACTTAGAGTATCTTCATTGGCAAGTACAAGGAGTGTTATTTAGGAAAGTGGAATGTGGAAATATCTTGCCATTAGTGAATGCAGGAGTTTGTAATGAGGGGAAAATGGTAGATTTAAGTCAGGGTTGTACATAAGTATCTTGTGATTATTGAACTCTCACTTAAACATTGTCACAAATAATAAGCACCTTATTTGGTTATTGAGCAATAGTTGGGGGCTATTTTGCAACGGCAATATGTTTTGTGTAATAGGTAATTTGGTTCAAATGTGTATATATAGCTTTATTATAGAATTTCTTTCTTACATGATTAAATACCTATTTACTGGGCATTTATATTATGAATCTATAACTTGTGATCATTGTTTTGCTCATTAGTTGTTACTTATAGAGTGAGTAGAGATGTACATGCTTTATTGATGTGCTAAAACCCTTTCATTTTCAAGTGCTGTTTTTTCTGTTAGATCCATTTTGTCCCTATAACATGAAAGGCACACTTTGCTTATCATACAGAGAACAGGGCATGCAAATATGATCCAGTAAGTTACTATTATCATTAACAGTATTATTGACACGAGACTTGACACGTTTCTTCCCAACTTTTGATACACTTTATCAAGTGGTAAGGAATTTAAATAATAGCTGTTTATTGCAGATTGCCATATTTCACCAGCGTAAACTTCCTTCTGCCAAGACTCATGGTGGAGTATGCATTTGTTTTTTTGTTAAGTCATTATGGTTTGACATTTCTGTGTATAAATTTTTTATGTATCTTTTTATGTATCTTCAACAAACAGAGATAATTACCATTAGTGAAAATCATCAGAGCCTTCATAATAAGAAGAGGTGTACTAACATGGATAATTCATGTGTTAAACAAGATAGCAAAGCCTTTATTTGATTTATCCAACTTTAGATGTCACAGACAATTTGTATCTCCTGCTCTTTTACGAAATATCTCATGGTTGTCTATGAAATACCTTGTGCTGATTTAGGAAGTATAGATGTCTTGGAAAATGTAAAACTGGTTGGAAGTCCAGGTATATGCTATTCAACATTATATTTAATGTTGACAGCATAAACAATAAGGAACATTTTATAGGCCACCAAAGTGGATTTCCATGCATGTCAAATTACTAGGCTTGATGATGAATTTGAGATAGCAGCGGGGTATATTAGTGGTGTAAAATGTTACAAGAGCAAATATTTGTCTTTTTAGATATTGATGTTAATTATCATCTTTTTTAAACTGCTTACTTATACTCCAGTTTTGTTGACCAAACATAAGGCTTCTATCTCCAAGCAGAGAGTTGTTACAAAAAGAGACAAATGTAGTTTCACTAAACTGTATGATAAAGCACATGCTTATGGGAGAAAAGTCGAAGTTCACAAGAGACATTTCATACACTTTGAAATACAGATTTCGTCCTTTTATATTTTGTTGTGCCTCTGAGCTCAGTAATGTGTAGCATGTTATGTATTCTAATACATCCTTTTTCATCTATTTCATTAATCGTATTCATGCAGATTCATGACCAGTTTCAACTTTTGATCATATATAGCAACTTGGACATCATGATTTATAAGGATGTTTATTTTAGGAAGTTTTTCATGTTCTTTGGGATATGGTCTCCTATGCTTCCAGTTGTATAAAGGAAACTAAGTGTAAGACATGGATTGAGGACAAATTATCTCAATGGAAATCTTTAAAGGAATAACAATTTGTTGTACTGTGATGTTTTCACCCAGTCATTACACACAAAGATTATTATATCTCTCGTTTTATTTAATTTCTGTTGCAATGTAGTACATAGTTTATGCTTCTTATCAAAAATACATTAAACTTACACCAGTCCCTCCAAACCTTCATTCCATTTTTCTTTCACATTTTATAGATTATCATTATTAGGTGAAAGGCCTCCATGAACCTTGCTCTGCCTCAAAATGTCTGGTCACATGTATTCTGTTATTTATTAGTTAGGTCACTTTCCCATGAGTAATTTATAACTCAGGTTGTATTCTAGCAGTTAATGTTTTTGTATGTATACTTTAATACATTGTGCATCCATGTGCACATGCACACATGCGCACATATACACAATCATACACTCTCACACATGCACACACGCATACATGCGCACACACACATACATGTAGACATATTCTGTCCACAGAAACTTTAGTTTATTCAGTTTGTTTATACAGAGATGGCTCCACAAGTACTTAGTCACTAGGGAGTCAGTTACTAGGCCTACATATTCTCATGTGTTCCTTGAATTTTCTGGAAGAAAAGTTTTATTATATTGCTTTTACTAGTGTTGACAACTATTGTTAATAATAATAATGTCAGGAAGGAAGGTAATAACAATAGCAATGATAATGATAGTATAAGGTATATAATTTTTTTCTGCCCAAAAAATAAAAGAATGGGTTGGCAAGTGCACTCAGGTAGGCCAGGCCACTTACTAAGTACTTGCAGAGCAATCTATGTGCAAACAAAATGCACAAAACAAAACTACAGTGGACAGTTTATGAATCCAACACCAGTGAGTTAAAAGTAGTGTAGATTTAGATTTGTTAGTTTGTTACTTTCTTGGCAGTCTTACAATAAATCATACGACTGTCCAAAAGTGCAGTCATATTGTAAATGTATTTCCATGTGAAAAAAATGTATGATTTTACATTGAGAGAGAGGAGTAGGAGGTAAACACAAATAGATTGATAAATGAATGTGCAGACATTCAGAAGAATGGAAAAAGAGGAGAAATATGTTATATGAATGCACTTCACGGAACCCCAGTGGCACAAATAACAATAAGTGTTCATAGTTTAGAGTTGTAAAGAAATTTGCTGTTCAGTACTTGATATTCACTTTAGCAGTAACATTTGCATCACCCAGCTTGTCCAGATTTTTGGTCTTATTTTATTTTCTATGTGAGAAATAAGAAAATTCTTGTTAATAGAATGTTACTCTTTATGGCTGAATATAAGCATGCACACGCTTACACACACACACACACACACACACACACACACACACACACACACACACACACACACACACACACACACACACACACACACACACACACACACACACACACACACATACACACACACACACTCACACGCACACACACACACACACACACACACACACACACACACACACACACACACACACACACACACACACACACACACACACACACACACACACACACACACACACACACACACACACACACACACACATACACACACACTTACTTACTCACTCACTCACTCACTCACTCACTCACTCACTCACTCACTCACTCACTCACTCACTCACTCACACACTCTCACTCTTTCACTCTTTCACTCTTTCACTCTTCACTCTCTCACTCTCTCACTCTCTCACTCTCTCACTCTCTCACTCTCTCTCTCTCACTCTCTCTCTCTCTCTCTCTCTCTCTCTCTCTCTCTCTCTCTCTCTCTCTCTCTCTCTCTCTCTCTCTCTCACTCACTCACTCTCACTCACTCACTCACTCACTCACTCACTCACTCACTCACTCACTCACACACACACACACACACACACACACACACACACACACACACACACACACACACACACACACACACACACACACACACACACACACACACACACACACTCACACTCTAAAGCACACATTCACACTCAAACACATACACTTACACTGTAGCACACACACACTCACACTCACACTCACACTCACACACTATCATACACACTGACTCTCTAAAGTACACCCTCACACTCACACTCTCAACACACACACACACACACACACACACACACACACACACACACACACACACACACACACACACACACACACACACACACACACACACACACACACACACACACACACCACACACACACACACAACACACACACACACACACACAACACAACACACACACACAAACACACACAAACACAACACACACACACCACACACACACCACACACCACACACACACACACACACACACACCACACACAACCACACACACACACACACACACACACACAAATAAAACACATTGTAGACA